CATACATGTAAAACTCGAATAGTCGTTACGACTATTCGACTATTCAACTATTCAACTATTCGACTATTCAATAGGGTGTGGGTGTGAGAGTTTGGGTGGGTGTTGATGAAAAGTACACCCACACTCACACCCGAATAGTTGAATAGTCGAATAGTTGAAAAGCTGGACAGTTGAAAAGTCGTTACGACTTAACGAGTTCTACACTACTGCAAAAAAAGACAAGAAAATTGAAAAAAACAAGAAAATCTATGAATATTTGTTAAAACAATCCAAGAGTACACCAGTTAGATTTTCAGTTTTCTCATTCAATTCTGGCTAGTCATTGTTGAAATTTTGGAAATACATACAGTGATGATCGATATGTCTATGAAATAAACAAAAGACGAAATGATAATAGAATAGAAAATTAATCGAAAGAATTGGATGTTGCATTTATTTTGTACAGAGGAAACATAGAGTAAGGATGATTTGTTTTCTATTTTGCAATAATTGTTCATTCATTCTTTTCGTGCATAATTTACTGTTGCTATGTGAAGTCCTTTCCAGTAGAGTAAAAATTTGAAAAGAATTTTAAAGAAACGAAAAAAAAGGAGGCATAGCAGACAGAAACGCAACAGAAAGCGTTGCCATACTGGAAATGTGAGAAAAAAATCATTCGAAAAAAAAAACAAGCAAACAGTGAAGCTCGCAAAAAAATTCAATCAACAACACTTTTGAAAATACCAAGGACGTTTTAGTTTCGATTACTTAACCGTGGTGAGTAAATTATTAGGAAGATTCGAAGAGTAAAAGAAACTCTTATGAATGTTATATACTTAGGGTTAAGACGGTGCAAATTTTAGAAACTATTGAGACAGACATGACATTAACACTCATGATCGACTTCATTGAAGTCGATCGTTTTTTTTCATGTACATTAGTTATCGACCACGTTCATTCACTATGACGCAGCTGTCTCCGAAACTTTTCATCTTTTCATTCATCGAAATTCTATAATAGTATCTATATCTAGGATGATTAGTCTGCCTTGTTTTTATTCTACGATGCAATTGATCAATTTTATTTATAAAAGAAACAAGAATGTGGGTGTGATTCTTCTCGTGTTCTACACTCACATCCCATACCCACAAGAGAGTTTAGGGTGACCCATCAAAATATACCCACGACGGAGCATAGCTTGGAACAATCGATGAATGTGTTGCATCGATGGCAAACACTTTGGAGTAGCTTATAATGAGAAGTAGTCTGAAGAGGCTTCTCAATCCATTCATCTATGAGAATGCCTAGAAAAGTTTCTAACGATCAAGCGATATGTAAAAGCCACTACAACAAATTTTTAGCTAGGCATCAATGCATCTCCATGGTAGTAAACATTTCTAAGCAACGAAAAAATGTGTTAGCCAAGCAAAAGAGTCTCAGAGCAGCTATCCGTGTTTTAAAGTAGCCGCAAAGACCTTTCGGCTACCAAAGAACCTATTTTAACGAGCGAAAATTTGAACCACAGAGAAATGTCTCAGAAGAAGCGTGAAGAGTCCGAGTGGGATGTAGATGTGGGTGTTGATCTGGAGGTGAGTGTAGCTCTTCTCTTAATCTTTACCATTCCTTTACATCCACACCCACACCCTTGAATTCTGCCTTTTCATATGTAAGAGAATACTTGGAATTTTTCTAAATAGTCCAAACGTGTAGAGAATTGTTTTCTCTATAAATTAGTTATAATTGAAATTGAGAGTACATTGTTTCTGAGGACAAACACACTATTGTTTCATGAAACACCTTATCATCGAATTTGGTTTGATAGTATTAACAACCAGTAAAATCTAAACCTTGTTCAACAAGGACTGACAGATACAGTGTTATATATGACTTTGCTCAGGGTCTCATATTCTTTGAAATGGCATGTACTTTGCAGAATTTCGACTATTTTTGAATGAAATCTTTCTCTAATTTGCTGTCAATGCTGTAAGCATAGGTTCAATTGTAAGTTGTTTTGTGAAACTATAGTGTATTTCTCATCAGAAACAAAGTACTCTTAATTTCAATTATAACTAATTTGTAGAAGGAACAATTCTTTACACGTTTGCACTATTTAGAAAAATTTCAAGTACTCTCCTACATATGAAAAAGGCAGAATTCAAAGAGTTGTATACGTGATTAGCATGGTGGACATACACATGAGAATGCATTATCTCTGCTTTCTATAATAAAAAAATAGCGAGTAAAATACATTTTTAGATGTAGTTTAACACACTCTTTCTAATGGTACCTTAAAAATCTAAAATCACTTGAAAATTAAAATAAAAAATAACATTTTTTGAACTACTTCTAGTGTTTACCAGTTACTCTGGAAATTGCCCATATTCCACCTCGTTTTCAAAAAGGGAGCACAAGAAAAGTATTCCATCATGTAGAAAAAAAATTTTCTCTTTCAAAAAGTATATTATAACGAGATGTTTGACTTGTGATACTCCCATAGAAAATCATAGAAATAGGTTGTTGATTAATTTTGGAAAGATCGAAAAAGAGACAATGAGAGTGTTTGATTAGCAACTATGGAACAGGAGGATATTTTGACTTGAGATTTTGTGTACATATACTAGGCACTACGGGCTATTATAAGGATAAAATAGGGTCATCATAACTCATATAGTTTTTGAAATATGAACTACGAGAAAACCTTTACTCTGCTTGTTGAATAATTTTGATATTTACTGTATATGATAGAAAGATAATCGGTGATTAACATTATAGAAGAAAAATAATGACAGAAAAACTAGTTATACGACGTTCAAATGATGTTGTTCAAAAAGAAATTTCATCATATAATGAATTATATCAAGATTCAACAACTGTCGATAAACGAAAAGCTCAATATAAAACCTTAGTAAAGAATTATTATAGTTTAACAACAGATGGTTATGAATATGCTTGGGGTAAAAGTTTTCATTGTGCTAATCGATTTCGTGGTGAAACATTCGCAGAATCAATTCAACGACATGAATCTTATTTAGCATTAAGAATGCAACTTAAATCAGGAGATAAAGTACTTGACATCGGTTGTGGAGTTGGAGGACCATTAAGACGTATTGCATATCTAACTGGAGCGCATATTACTGGTATAACAATTAGTCCATATCAAATTCAACGAGCTAGAACAATTGGTAAGAATTTATTATATTTATTTATTGAAACAAATCTCGAAATATGAATTGAAATCTTATTTCAGGTGTACCAGCTAATTGTGAATTTATTGAAGGTGACTTCATGGACTTACCATTTGAAAACAATAGTTTTGATCATGTTTATGCTATAGAATCTATATGTCATTCACCAGAAAAGGTATATTATTACACTTTTTTATTTCAAAAAAAAAAACATTGTTTTTTTATACAATGATTTAGTCTAAATGTTTTGCTGAAGTTTTTCGTGTACTTAAACCAGGTGGTTCATTTGTTGCTTATGATGCATGTTTAACTGATAAATATGATAATCAAAATCCTGAACATATTGAAATAATACATATGGTGGAAGCAAATTTTGGCTTACCCGAATTACAATCAACCCATCAATTAATTTCGGATCTTCAATCAGTTGGTTTTACTGTTGAAGAAAGTCGAATACTACTCGAAGCAGATATTTCTTGGTATCGCCGACTAGAGGGTGGTGATTCATTTTTCTCATTAAAACATTTTCGTACAACCCCTGTTGGCCGATGGTTAGGGCATAATGCACTTTGGCTTTTGGAAAAAACTCGGATAGTTTCTAAAGGCAGTGCAGCAATAAGTGATATGTTTCAAAGATCAGCTAAAAGTATGGTACGTGCTGGCAAACGTGACCTATTTACACCTTTGTTCTTTTTTCTTGCTCGGAAATCTTAATTATAAAAAAAGCTTATCAGTGCAGCCCCTTTAGAGCTAAAATATGAAACTCACATCTCTTCTTCAGCTTCATTATACTGATACAAAATATGTAAAATGAAAAGTCTATAATAGACGAGAGCTACAGGTGTGGGTATGCGTGTAGATGGGCGTGGATGAACAGATCATCCACACTCTAGTTAAGTGTTTGTTTTATGAACGCTTTTACGTTCAGTTTGTCTCACACTTGTATAAACTCTCAAAGAATTCAGAATTTGATATGTGTTCTGTTAAACATTTTATCATCATTACTCGAGAAGTAACTAACAGTCATGTCAATACTATGAAAGGGAGCTATTTGTACGATTTTGGAAACTGTATTTTTGTCCTTAGATTTACAAAACATCTTCAGCGTTTTAAAGATCAGAAACAAGAGATTTTAAATGTGCTAAGAAATGAAAATTTTTACTCTCACTTCATTCCACAATTTTGAGGCTTTATTGACTTTCTGAATAGGTGAAACTTTTTTAAAACATGTATACATGTAGAAAAATTAGAAGTGTTATAGTGTTTAAACGTATGACTCATCAAGACGGTATATCCACAAAAACTTTATTTACGAACGAAAAACATACATACACTATGATAGTAGTTGCTAACTAATTAGTTGGCATCTCAGATCCTTCGTACTTTAGTCATACAATTTATTCTCACACTATTGTGTCATGGGGCAGTAAACCAATTAATAGAGAATATGTAATTGAAGTAAAGAAATACCTTATTTCATGTTTCATCCATATCTATCGACTGTTTGATAATAAGAACAACACGTGTAAGATCTTTAATTCGTCCCTTCTCATTATATCAAATCTGTTCTTCAATTTATTTGTCTTCAATCTCAAGTACATAGAAATTTTTCTTATTTGTGTAAAATAATCAAGTTGTCTTATTTAACTTTCTCTTATACTAATGTACATGATCATCGACTGTCAACCCAAGAAGTAAAAGAAGAGATTACAAAAACAACATTCTCTAGCCTGAAATAAAGGATATGAGTGAAATGTGAATATCAAGGATATCCACACCCTCTTCTGTTAACATATTCTCTTTTTGGTGTAATTTTATTGTATATATTTGATTGATTCATTATCGAAATAATTCTGTTTGATTTATTCACAACAAATGCAGAAAAAGCTTGGCAAAGTGATTGTGGGTGTGGATGTGGGTCTGAATGTGGGTGGGGTATGGGTGTGGGTGTGGGTGTTGGTTATCTTTTCACCCATACCCCCATTGCTGCAAAGTTTTTCGTGATATCCTGTAATAGGCTGAAAGTCCAATAAAGTGACCATAAGTCGAGAAGAGCAGCCTTATGGCACGAATCCATTCAGGATTTTCGTGCAAACTATGAGCTCAAAACGGAGATTATCACTCGCATAGGTTTCTTCGTCAAACACAAGGATTTATCTTTCGAAGAACTTACAGTAGAAACCGTGTCTAAAAACATCGTTAAAACCAACATGACAACAATTTTTTTACTTCAATGATACTCGAGTGCATGATATACACTTTCAATTTTCTCATTTGTGACTGAAACTTTGCAAATAGACACAGCAATAACCAATGTATCTGTCGTATAGATTCTACATCAAATGAAAACAATACAGAAAATCAATGGAAAAAATTATATTCTTTAAATTGCCCTATCTTTATTGTACATCCATAGATTAATGATAGGAAAATATACAATTAAGAAAAACAAACAGTCTGTTATACTTTTTCATATACAGTTTGTATGTGTTGTCCATCAAATTTAAGTTCAAACCTATTTTCACCATGATATTTACTCGTTTGAACATACCATTTACCTTCAAATTGATTATTTTGTGCATTCCAAGTCAGTTGAATAGTGACTTGATGACCTAAATTTTCTAATCGATTACCAGTACCTCTTTTATATGTTTTTGTGAGACCAATTCGATGTGTGTAAACTGAATAACTACCATGAATAGTAAATGTACCAACATCATCTGATCCTGAACCTGTTATAGTCATTAAAAGATCGTTAAATGTAAGAGAAAATCGATGAGATCCATGACATTTTCCATATTGATAATATTGACTTTTCCAATAACCAGATTTGAATATACTAGTATCACATTTTTCTAATTGATAATTTTGATTAGTTTCGTTTAGAACAAATGCTGTATTTGACTTTAATGGTCGACCTTTCCAGAATTTTACACAATAATATATACCGAAAACTAACAAACCCAATGCAGGGATACCACATATGATACCTAATGTAACAGCTAAGTTAGAAGAACAATTATTGCCTTTACACGAACCACCTGTATTCCCATAATAATGAATTCCTCCAGAAAA